GGAATGCCGTTTTTGCTCCTGTTATCTGTGTGGTGGAAAACAGGATGCTCACATGCAACTTCTGTGTGATGAATGTAATATGGCTTATCATATATACTGCCTGAATCCACCTTTAAGCAAAATACCAGAAGATGAGGACTGGTAAATATACAAAGATGATTTACTTTTATGCATAATCCCACTTTGTACAAGCTACCTTTTTAATCATTTGAAACTTCAGAGAGACACAAAAACGTCCTGATTATAGAGAATAGTGAAGGTATATTATGATACTGGTGTATATTTTTCATTTTGCAATGCACAGTTATTACACAGTTTTATAATAAACCGTTAATTACACTTAGTTGATATTAAGGCTCCATTTATACATAGTTAATAAAGACTTGTTAAGTAGTTCAGCATTATTGATAGGTCAGTAAATTACTTAAGAACATCTATTACAACATTATCTGTGACTGTATTTACAGGTATTTATATCTTTACTATGACCATAACATATATTAATCACTTCATCAGTCTTTTAAGCAGTTCACAAATTGAATCTTCATACAAAATGTATTCCATTGCATATGCACCAGTAAACTTTTAGGGACCTAGTCTTACAGGCAGTTATTCATGTGAGTAATTTCAGTGGCAGTACTAAATTGAACTAAAAAAAAAATATTAAAGAAACACCTGTGGAAGTTGCAGTATTCTGTGAAAATAAATCACTAGGTCTCTGAAGTCATTTGTAAAAGCTTGTTCTAAGCTGGTCAGCTAATTAGCAGAATTGTTTGATGCACATTCCTGATGATATTATTTAATCTGCTACCTAAGAAGCACTTCCACACACGCCACCATACCACTGGGGCCTCACACTCTGCTTATATTTACCTTTCTGTCTGATTTAGGGGTTAAGGCTTGCTTAAAATATTTAATTTAGACTTCCATATTTGTATTTTGTTCTAACTTTACATAAATCTACCCAGAGACGCACTTGATCAAGCCAAAATGAGGCGGCCATATTTCTGTGAACTTTTCATATTTCAATATCTGGCGTTGATGATTTTGATCTCATTGAAGAATCTATTGACTTTGAACACTGTTTTAAAAATATTTTCAACATACTAAACGTTTTGAGAGGTGGAAGAAGCAAATGGAATACATATTTAAATATTGTTTGTATGTAATCCACACTAGCATGTGTATGGGTGTGCAAGTTTGCAGTTTAACCAGCATTGTCTGTTAGTCTAGATCTGCATCCAAGATCTACTCAGCCCCTTGTCCGTAGAAAATAGAGAAGGCTTACTTGTTCAGTGGTGTCTTCTCAGTGCTGCTTGAGCAATTTACATATGGCCAAAGCTCTTAGGCAAATTTCACTAAGTATGGTCACGTGGACAAATTAGGTTAGAATGTGACTTTATAGCTTGTAAATTATTCCATGGAACCTACCAACATGCATGCACTTACCATTCAGTAATTACTAGGGAATTTACCCAACTTCATTGATGGTTAAACTGTGTTACTGTGGGGTAAAAGTATATGAAGTATATGAAATTACTGTAGAGTAGCCAGTGCTGTAAAGTCACTCTCTACGTTATGGGAACTTGATCCATGTGCCCATACCATTAGTTTACTACCTAAGAATTTCTTTGGACCCTGAAAATAAAAAGTACTCATTATGCCCACCCAAGACGCTTGGGCACATCTGAAGTTCATCAGTATGTCAGTAAATTAGGATGCAGTCAACCATTTGCAGTGGCATAATGTATGAGGCTTGGAATCAAGTTCAGTAGTTGCACATAGACTCTGCTTTAGTTCTTGAGCGTTCCTGAACATGAGACCTATTCTTGTAAAAACCTTACATCTTAGATTGACTCCATGTCTAATGCCAAGTTTAATCAAAGGGTGAAATTAGAAGTGCACTGATACATTGGTTTATATTGTATTGGCACCGATGAAAGCAAAATTGATGTTATCGGCAATCGGCTTTTTTTGGCTGATGTGGCCGATTAACGTTGCCGATGAATTCTGCATGCATGCATACAGCCTGGCAGCTTGGAGAGCAGCATCTGGCTGGTAAGTCTGTGGGGAAGAAGGGGTGTGGGGGGGAGCAAATCAAGGCCCCTACAGTGAGGGACGGAGTGGGGCTGGGGCAGGGCGCAGCCCAGCCAGGACAGGACATGGGATGGAGCTTCAAACGGCTCCTCTGGGGGCTCTGGGAGGGATGGGGGCAGCTCCCGCCACTGGTGCACCCCACAGGAGGCACGGAGGGACACATGCCCCCTGGATCTGTGCACGAGATGAGAGCGGGGTGCTGTTGTGAGTTGGGGCCAGGAGCGGTGCCGGCTCTTCCTGGTGGGGGTCTGGGCCAGGGCTGCGTGTGGGGCTGGCGGTGGCGGCGCTGGGAATGGAGGTTCAAGGAGGGGTTACAGCGAATTCTGGGTTGGTCACAGCCCACTCTGTAGCCCCCCTCCCAGCACTGCCACCACCACCTGACCCACGTGCAGCCCTGGCCCAGTCCCCCCGCTGGGAAGAGCCCAGTGCTGCTCCCGGCTCCATCTCACAGCAGCAGCTAGCCCTTGCCCTGCGCACAGATCTGGGGGGCACATGCTTTTATCTAAATCATCTATTAGATAAAAGCGCCGAAAAGCCCTGCTGAAGTGCATAAGCTATATAAACACTGGGCAAGCTGGATCAAACTGACACAGTTCCTCTTCTGGGAATATGCTGTGCTCAGTGCGGGAGTGTGCCGAACTGAAAATAAAGCACTGGGGGTTTTTTCCATGCCCTGAGAGACCAAAAGCATTTAGGGTACGTGAAGTTCTCCATAGATAACTCTGGCCAAGGATTTTGAACTTATGCATACAGAAGTTGAATCCATGCTGTTAAAACATCTCTCAGAACTTCAGTTACTGATAAAATATGTAAATTGCTTTTCTGTGTTTGATTTTTATTTCATTTGCAGTCATTTGGGTTCTGTGATTTAATAATAAGAGAAATAGATAAAGCCAAGTTGGGGGAAATGTACCATGTGGTCTTGCCTCTTTCGTAGTCCCTTTTTGGGTTGCTTTGTAGTGCTAGCCTTGTGCAGCCCTGTTGTTCATTTGTGTGTAAAAGGACTGCAACTGTGTAGTAATGTGCCAGCACAGGAATATTGAGGAAGGACAGCTCCTTTTTCTTCTTCTCTCCTTGCTTGCCAGCTTAGGGTAACTGCACAGTATGATTGGCTACCAGATTTTCATTTATTTTAAAATAGAAGAAGTTTTCATTTTTAAATGTTGTTAATTTAAAGTTGGTCAACCCCTTGGTTCCCAGTCTGTACTTTGGGACATGCTGATAGGGCATTCTCATACAAATTAATGTCACTATTTATATGCTAAACAGTATTTAATATTCCATACAAAAACTCAGTTAAGAAAACATTAAGAGTGCATGGCTAAGCAGTCATAAAGCAGGAACTGCCATAGTTAAATGTGCCCTCTTGTGAGTTTGCATTATGGCGCAGTACTTTTCATTATGATTATTGCATTCTGTTCTTCAGATAGTACAATACAACATCATTCATATAACCTAAGTTTTCGTTAAAACTTTAGAAGGGTGCCCGCAGACTGGTATTTTCATGTCTTTTTATTTTGTTGTCCTAATTGGTATCTTTATTGATTTTGGGTCAAATCATGCCCCATTGAAGCTGATGTGGGTTTTGCAACTTGAGGTTAATGTAGCAAGGAGTTGCCCTTAAGCTTCTTCTGTTTTTCATAGAGTTTGTTCATCAACATTCATGTATTGTAGTATGAGCATTTTTAGCAAATCACACAGCTTTTCTTTATACAGTAACTTAAGGACTATGTCAGTTGACAGAAACTAGCATACATACAGCACAACTTTCCTTAGCTGCTTGCTTTAGAAGCGTAGCCAAAAGTGAAGTACAAAGTGTACTGTACTATGCATGGCATGCGACTTAGAAGACTGCTAACTAGGTCAAATCCACACCAATTTTCAGTGGAAGACTCCAGGCCCTGGAAGGAATTGCTTGATAGTGAAAGGTGGAGAGCACTCTGGCATGATGCAGCAAAGTGCTTAATCATTTGCTTTACTTAAGGCAAAGGAACAGTCTGATTGCCTCTGTTTCCACTACATGTTCCAGTTCAGTGGGGCTGCTCATTTACTTAAGTACTGGACTTCGGATTAGATGTAGAGTGCCCGTTTTCTGGCTGGAGCGGGCTTGAAGTGTTTCTTGTAGGAAACATTGTTTTACAGTCGTTGACTCATAAGTGGCTGAACTGTGTATTTTTTAATGAATGGAGTAGAAGTGTCCACTTTTGGACACTATTTATTCTGAACATTTTCAACCCAAAATAAAATTATTTGTGACTTAAAAACAGGAATTAGAGAGTTTTAAAGGAAACTTTTGCAGTCATTTCTGCCACTTCTGCTTGCTGACAGAAATCTGGAAGACTGGTTTTCTCATAAATGCATCTATATGGGGAGTGGAGATTTCTAACTGGTATTTGCATCACTGTTACAAATTTGAGGAAACTCATTTATCTTTGTGCCTCAGTTGTATGTAATAGGTTTATTATAATATAGGGTGATGCCACTATTACTTAGTGTGATTATGGCAGAAAAGTGAAAATGGCAGCTTCTTATTCAGCAGACCTCCTCCATATGTTTAAAAAGGTGTTTTTACACCTTATTTTTCAGTACCAATAGCTAGGGGAAAGCTGGAGTCTTGCAGAGCTATTAATTATGATTCAGTCTCAAAGCCAAGTCTTCCTTCTGTTACACTCTCTTATCCCTGTGGAAGACTAAGAGATGGTACAGTTTTGAACTGAAAGTGGAATTTGGCTTACAGAATTTTAATTACTGGTGATATGCAAAAAGTACATCTAGCCTGACTGTCAGATTTCAAGTTGATTTTGCACAGCTGTCAGATGAAAATTTTACTTGTAAATTAGACTGGTGTGATCTGGAAATGATTGAGAGAAAATAAACGATTCATCAAGTATTTTGAGACTCTAAGATAAAAGGTACAATATAAGTATAGAGCGTTATTATAATATTATTATTAGGATTATTTTGGAGGTTGCTGATATTTGTTAGATTTATTTCCTCAGTTCAGAATACTAGTCTGAAAATGTTCAGTTAAGTTGGAAAGTCAACACCATTCTAGCTATATAAAATATATTGCCATTATATTGAGCAATTCAAAATCTGTCAAAACATTTTTTTTTTTTGTTTTGTTTTTAGGTATTGTCCTTCCTGCAAAAATGATTCTAATGAAGTTGTAAAGGCTGGGGAAAAACTCAAACAGAGTAAAAAGAAAGCAAAGATGCCATCTGCCAGTACTGAGAGCCAGAGAGACTGGGGCAAGGTAGAGTATATTTAGGAAAAAAATACTACATTGTGTGTGTATGTATATGTTCCACCTGTAACCAGGCATATATCTTTATTGTGCATAATTTAGTATTGTATTATATGCCAGAAAGTAGGCAGAATGTATACATTAATTGTTGAAATTACACTTTTTGTAAAACAATACTGAATTTTGCACATTGTCTTCAAGAAGTTAAAACTATTTTTTAAGGATGACTTACAGACAAGGATTGTAAATTAAATCATAAACAAACATTAGATTGCACTTAAAATTGTTAAGAAGTTTTTAATCAATCTATTTTTAAAAATGTCCTTTTTTTGACAAGAAAACCTTGTTCACGTTAGACTTTTCCTAAAAACTTGAAGATCCTAAAATTAATATTTTCTGTTTGTTCTCATTTTAGGGTATGGCCTGTGTTGGGCGCACCAAGGAATGCACTATTGTTCCTTCTAATCACTATGGACCTATACCTGGTGTTCCTGTTGGAACAACCTGGAAATTCAGAGTTCAGGTATGTTTTAGAATTGAAGCAAGTAAAATCCAAGAAAACAAAGATCATGGGGTGTTTTGGTTGTAAAAATGATTTTAGTTTCTGATGCTTGGCTTAGAATAATTATAGTTTATTTAAGTTCATTCTACTTTTGAGGTATTGCATACTTTAAATATTCAATAAATAGAATTGTTAATACCTTTAAAAATAGAATTAACTTTTTAAGGGGACCCACATATTAGGACAGAATTTAGCTTTAGAACTCAGGTTCTTGAGAGAGAAAAATCTAGTGTCCCATAGGAATAAACTTAGAAAATATTTAGCTTTTACTATAGTGTTGCATACATCTCTTTCCAGTGAGATATACTGATAATCAACATAAGTACCTTTAGTGATAGTGTAGTTTTTCCTGTGCTTCATTTAACATTAAGGAATTCTGTGGCTATCAGAAGTGGTTCATTTTTATTTTTCCTAGTCTTGTTTTCAAAATGGGCTAATTTTTTGTCTCCTATTTTGGACCCAGTGGTCCAAAGAATATTTCTATTGTATTTCTTTCAAATCCAGCTGAATAGAAGCAGAGTTTCTGTTTACTTCAGCAGAGATGTGTGGGGGTAGGACAGAACAAGGAATATTGCATTTAGAAATGCAACACAGATCTTGGGGTTAAAATCCTTAGCAGCTGAGGTTCCTTCTCTCCCCCCTGCCCCTCCCTTGCTTAATTCACTACTAGAACAGATAGAGAACACTCCAGGTGTTTCAGCAACCTGGTTATGACATCCAGTACATGCTTGCCTTTCTTTTAGTATTACCATTGTGCTTCAAGAATTTTCCATACCCGAATTTTGCTGGAAAATAGCTTGGAATTGCATTGTAGAAGGAAGCAAAGTAGTTCTTTAATTAGCAGTGTCAGCCTACTCCCCCACTTAAAAGCTTGCTGTCAAGTAATATGTTTAGTACAGTTCTCTCCTATATTGTCAGAAAGTTACATGTACCTCTTAGCTGTTCTTTTACAGAGAGGCTAAACTCAGGCTCCTGACATGGATGTTTCCCACAATGATTTCTGATTCCCATTGATAAAGAGTTCTGGGGAAGATTGGAGCTATAGTTTATAGTTACTGGTCCTGCCTCAATGGTTGAATAAAGTTGCAGAAATAGATTTTGGCACCCACTCCTGGACCCAGGCATGTAAATAAGGGATAATTCTCAAGATAATTTCCAAGAGCACTGATGTTTAGAGCAATCATTGTATCATCTTTAAGTATTGTGCAGCATGGTATGATTTTGATAATCCCATTGAAGACCCAGGGCATTTGAAGGTTTTAGGGCCATACAGACCAGCCCCAGAGTAGCTGGCAGGACTGTTATACACGGTGCCCACTCCTGATCCAGCACCAGATCAGTGGGCCTGGTCCAACCTGCATACCACCCCAATGCCACACACATGGCTCAATGGGCCAGACATGTTTGACACCCCTGATTTAGTACATTTACAAGTTCTGATAGTTCATGAATGCCTATAAGCAATGACCACTAGGTTTACTTTGTAGGTTTACTGGTTTTATGTACTGTCTTCCTTTTATTCCGTCTTTCAAATAGTAACAAGAGTGTCAGGAAAATGCCTGAACCATTGTTCTGTAGTGAATGTAGCTACACAGGTTTTTTCCCATTGATTGAACACTCAATTCTTCCACATATCATAAATCTGGTACAGCAGGATTTCTTGTTTTGCTTTATGTCCAGTTCATGAAATTTCTCAGTGAAAATTCAATGTACTACTCTCCTTATTGCTGGTCGGGCCTTAGGTAAAGTATTGGGTTCATTTTTGGGTACAGCATTGTATAAAGGACCTCAAAAAACTGGAGACTGACAAGGGATGTAAAAGCAAGGTATACGATGATAGCGTGATGGTATATTTAGCTTGAAGAAAAGGAGGCTAGAGGGAGGGGTGTCAAGATAAGTTTTCATATATTTGAAAGGCTGTTGTAAAGAAGAATTGTTATTCTCCCATTAAACAGAGGGGAGAACATATGTCAATGGCTTTGAACTTTAGAAAAGCAGTTTAAGGCTGTGGACAGATGTTCAGCTTCTCGTGGGAGAGTTGCTGATCTCAAGGTAAAAACGAGAACAACCAAGGTTAGATCACTCCCAGGAGAGCCTGTACACACTCCCTTTTGAAAGAAGCCACAGCACAATCCTCCAGTATTTCCAGGGTGCTTTGTTCCTTCCTCCCCCACCCTCAGGAGACAGTGCATCTCTGCTGCTCCAGAGTAAAACACACTCCCTTCACAATCCTACATTGTGCTGCAGGGAGAAACAACTTAATCGTGATCGGTCTGGGGCAGGCTATCAGGGCTGCCCTGTGCACTGCTATCATCTGTTGCTAGGCTGACTTGGGAGTCTGTAGAGCATGCTGAGATGTGTGCACAAGAGTTCCCTTACTGCTCAGTAGGGGTGTGCGAAATGGGCCGTATTCTATTTGGATTTAGATTCAGCCCGAATCGGAGACAGTGATTCAATTAGTTGATTCGGATCACCGTCCCTGATTCGATTTGGCTGAATCCGAATCTGAAGATTAACTATTTGGACATAGACACAGCTTTAAATTTTTTTCTACATACCTTGAGGTACCAGGTGCGGCTCATGAATGCTGTGATGGTGGAGTATATGGAGCATCCCACAGGGGAGGGGGGTGGGGTGGGCCGTGAACCTGGAAGTGGGCGGGAAGTACTTCTGGTCCACTTCCAGGTCTGCTGCCAAGTGTGCTGGGGGCCCCCCCACACTCAGCTCAGTGATTAGCCACAGGGGGACCCTGGGTGCCCCCCTAGACCCAGGAGGCACCAGTCGCCAAGCAGGGGAGGTTCAGGGGGGCCCCTCGTGCACTCCCCGGTGGACCAGAAGTGAACAGGAATTGCTTCTGATCCACTTCTAGGTCTGCTGCCAAGCGTGCTGGGGAGCCTCCTGCGCTCCTGTGGGACACTCCATCTGCCCCACCGTCTCGGCATTTGTGAGCTGTAGGTACCTGTAGGTATGTAGAAAAAACATTTAAAGCTGTGTCTGTCTGAATCGTTGAATCTTTCCAAATCGAATTGGAGGGTTCCGATTCGACTCGAAGAGATGAAAGGGTCTCCTGATTCGATTCAGAGATTCGGCCAGCCAATCGAGCTGAATCTCTGTCAAATCGAATCAGGGGCTGAAGCTTCACACAGCCCTACTGCACAGCCTCAGTGCTGCAAACTCTTGGTTCTAGAAGAAATCTTAAGGAAAACTTTCTAATTGTAGGACCAGCAGGACAGTACAAAAGGCTACTTAGGAATATGGCAAGAACTGCCTTCACAGGAGGTGTTCAAACAGAGGCTGGAAAGAGGCATCTGGGATGGTTTAGGAATAGTCAGTTTGGCATTTGAGATTTGACCATGGGTTGTGTAGACTAGATGACCTTTGAGGTCTCTTCCCACTCTTTGGTAATATGATTCTAAACTTGCTTTGAAAAAGTATAATTTCCATTACAGTATTTCCTTTTTTTGACAGACTATCAAAATTGCATCATATTTGAAGAATATTTCTGTGAAGAGATCTAAAGTAAATTCTTCAAAATGCAGTTATTCTATGAAAAGTTGAGCTACAACCCTGGCATTGCAGAGTTCTGTGTGTATATATTTTTCATTGACTTCCAGTTCAGATATACTCTGCTTATAAATTTATAAAAAGTTATACAACTTTTCTAACAGGCAGTGCTGTAGAGTCAAGTTCTACTCTCTTTGGTTTAGCCATTATCACAAGTAGTAATAAAATAAGTAATTCATTTACATCTCTGTTAACAGTTCTGATGGCACACAAGCCAGAGCTGATTTCAGCAAAATCATCTAGTGCTGTTTATTAGAGGTAAAAGCAGTAAGACTGTTTTTTCCAGTCAATTAAGTCCCTTTTCCACCCCATTTTAAAGCGTTATAACTATTTCATCTGTCCATGCCCCGTGTTCAGTAAGATGGTATCTGTATACCAGAGGCTCCCTGTTACTTTAAGAGAAAACCAGCAGTAGGGAGACCCCCAGTTGGGATCATCTGCCCATTAAGAGTAGTAGAAGAACAAGTTGCCTGGGTACTTTAGTCTGGGGCTGCTTATGGCAGCGCTTGCTGTTCTGCAGTAGTACAATAGGGCAGTGATTGTTTGGGATAGCAGAGGGCTTACCGCAGATCTAGGTGTCCTATAGTTGTAGCGGGGAGCAGGGCTATAGCTCTCGCTCAGAAGCTATAAGCTGCTCTAGATGTCAGCCAGCCAGCCTAAAAGAGAACACCTGTGGTGGCTGGGGGGGAAATCACATGACCCAGAGAGGCTGGGCTTAGGCAACATATAAACTCGGGGCTTGAGCCCAAGAGTCAGTCAGACTCTACAGGCTGCCAGGGAAAAAGCTACTCCATGATGACTGTGGCTAAGAGACTACCTGGGCCCCCCACTGCCCTGCAGACTAAAAATAAGGAACTGAGAGCTTTCAGAAGAGCTAAATGTTGTTGTGCAGCTAGAGTGTTTCTAATTTTAGTTACACCACAGGACCAGTAAGAGACTAGCAGGGAAGATTGGAGGTCGCGGTGATGCCTGAAGGGCATGTGTTTGTGGTGAGTCCTGCCAGAGGTCAGGCTCAGTGCGTGGATAGGTTGATCAGGAAGGGGTTGTTGGAACCTATGTTGGAAAAGACCATTGCATGAAAGAGGTGAGAATCAGGATTAGGGGCCAGAGGTCTGAAGCTCAAGAGGGGCAGAGAAAGAGCCAGGGGCCTGCAGCCCTTGATGGGTGAAGATATGGCCCTAGAGGCAAGACCAGGGCTTGCCGAGATGGAAACTGGAGCCCAGAAGCCAGGCCTGGCACAGTGGACCTAAGCAAGAAGAGTCCAGGAAAAAGGGCCAAGGCTGAAAAGGCCAAGAGGACATAAAGGCCTAGAGCGGCCTGATATAGGACTTGGACTGAGTGCCCTCTGAAATGACTAAGTGGTAACACCTGTAGGGGTGTCTGGAGGCCACAAATAGCCTTTTAAGGTGGTTAGTGTCCTAGAAGGTATAGACAGGCCATGAGGCCCAGAATTAGTGCCTGAAGGCAGAACTAAGGCAGGTGCGGTTCATAAGGAACCTGTAGAACAGAGGAAGATGAATGCTTACTCTGGGACCCTGGGACAGCTTCTCCCTTGGTTCCAAATCAGATAGTAACAGCAAGGCATGGCAGGAGAGAATGAGAAAGGGGTGGAGAGTACCTAGCGAGCCAGAATAAGTCAGGAGTCTTGAGGTCACCAGGGGGCATCACAGCTGTCCTTGGAACTTGATCCTGCTACAGTATCATTTTTACATAGACACTTCTTTAAATATAACTGCACATTGATATTGTTTCTTTCTTTTATTTTTAAGGACAAAACTTTTGAACTCTTCTACATAACTTTTTTCTTAAGTTCTTTTTTGACTAACTTGAGTGATCTCTGTTATAATACATGGGTTCCTGATAATGGATAAATAAGAATTTGCGGGCAGCCCATTTCTTACTTCCTTTTTGTGGGCTCTAATGCAAACAACTCCTTAAATTTCCTTTAAAGATGCTATTCATGTAAATCACACTCGTAGACATATGCACAAACACATCCAAAGATCATCACTGTTGTAAGGCTTAGAACTGTCTTTGACTTGGGAAAAAGTCTCTAAAGTATCACTTCTGGAAATAAGTTCTTGTAACACAGAAATGTGATTCATTGTGAACACGCATCTTGAGTAATCACATAAAATACAAAATGCTGCCTAATCAGATAGATAGATAGTTATTAGATGTGTTTTGCCCAGGTGCAGATTAACAGTCAGTTGTATCCCAGATGGCTTTAGGACTTTTGCTGTCAGTGAATCCTTGTGGGTTATCAAGGTACCTATCCACTTCCTAGTATTGCATACTTTCATTTTTTGGTAGATTCCCTTGGGTGAATTTTAGTCCCCTTTCTCTGGCTTTTCTTCCTTTAAAAACAAACAAAACCTTGTTTTCCCATGGTAGTTTTTGTACACCTATTTATGGAGACATTCTCTCTTAAAATCCCACTTCATTAAACAGGAATTTAATTATTACAGATGAGTATTGATGAATATTTACTTCAATAAGTTATTTTAAAAATTGTATTTCTTATTATCCAAGGTGAGTGAAGCAGGCGTTCACAGGCCTCATGTTGGTGGAATCCATGGGCGCAGTAATGATGGAGCTTACTCCCTTGTGCTGGCTGGAGGATTTGAAGATGAAGTGGTATGTCTTTTTATCCAAACCACTCAAGATTTGTTGTAGGAATGTGTAGCATTAAGTTCATGGTTGACCCAAAAGTTATTTGTTTATGAAAATGATGTGCGGATGCAGAACAATCATTAATCCTTAATTAACTTGATATGAATATTTAAATTATCTTTTAGGCTGTATAATTAGCAATGATAGAGGACAGCTTCATGCTTGCATGTAAATTACTTCAATTGCATCTGGATTTTGGCTTGTTCACAAAAGATAGTGTATGGAGAATGCATATAAAATCTGATGAGCCTGTAACAGCGGGCTTTGGAAATTATGCATTTTACATCCTGTCATGATCATCATTTTTATCGCTTTCAGGTTAAGTAAACTGACTATTGAACAGATAGATGCCTTCATTCTTTTGCCCGAATCTTTGGCCATGATAACTATAAAGTTTCTAAAACCACCAAAAATTTGATTTGAGTAAAGCCAGGGTAAAAGCATGGGGCCTGATCCTGTTAAGTGTTTAGGGTTCTTGACTTTCATTGATTCAGTTGAGAGTCGAAGGTTCTCAGCGTCAACCAGGAAAATCTCTGTACTTTGTATCACTGTGCTGTAAAGGAAGACGCTGGTAAATGGTCCACATTGGTGACCGATACATATCACCATTTAACTAGAGTAATCAAGGCACTTTTAAAGCTGAAATGTAATACAGATCTTGTCCGTCCTCTTTTCATGAACCTGACCAAGATTTGTACGCAAATAGACTACTGTTTTGTGTAATCAAAATAATGTTTACACAGGGTACTCCCCCTCCTGCGGCTCTATTCCATCAGGCGGAATTGTGAGTCATACTACAGGTGAACAATAAAGCAGTAAGCAACCTGTTTTTTAAAAACATAGGCAGCTGTTAATTGCAGGGAA